ACATACAATACACAGACATATATATATATATATATAATTTATATATTTTAATTTAATTTATATAAATAAATATATATATATATATATATATATATATATATATGTATAAAATTTATGTATTTTTATTTAATTTATATATATAAATACAATTCATCCGGAAAGTGTTCACAGCGCTTCACTTTTTCCACATTTTGTTATGTTACAGCCGTATTCCAAATTGTATTAAATTAATCTCTTTCCTCAAAATTCTACACACAATATCCTATTGTGCCAATTTAAAAAAAGAGTGAGAATTTAGCAAATTTATTAAAAATAGAAAACTGAGCTTTTACTTAAATATTCACAGCCTTTGCTTTAAAATTTGTTGATACACCTTTTGCTGCAATCACAGCCTGTTCTTTTTGAATATGATGCTACAAGCTTAGCACACCTATCTTTAGGTAGTCCTCCCCACCCCCCACCCCAATTCTCCTTTCAGTACTTCTCAAGCTCCATCAGGTTGGATGGGAAACATCTGTGCAGCCATTTTCAGATATCTCGAGACGTTCAGTCAGATTCAAGTCTGGATTCTGGCTGGGCCACTTCAGGACATTCACAGAGCGTTCCTGAAGCCACTCCTTTTAGATCTTGACCATGTGCTTTGAGTCATTGTCCTGCTGAAAAATGAACTGTCGCCCCAGTCTGATGTCCAGAGTGCTCCGGAGCAGGTTTTCATCCAGGATGTCTCTGTATTCATCTTTCCCTCTATCCTGACTAGTCTGCTAGTTCTTGCTGCTAAAAAACATCCCCGAAACATGATGATGCCACCACCATGCTTTACTGTAGGGATGGTATTTGTCTGTTTTTCTCCGAACATGATGCCTGGCATTCACACCAAAGAGTTCAATCTTTGTTTTATCAGACCAAATAATGAGAGTCCTTCACCTTTTGGTAAACTCCTGACGAGGAGTGGCTTTCATCTGGCCACTTTACCATACAGGCCTGATTGGTGGATCGCTGCAGAGATGGTTGTTCTTCTGGAAGTCTAAAAAATGTTAAGTCTGGTCCTCTGGACATTCAAAAAAAAGAAAAGAAAAAGCTAAACAAAAAAATTGTAGAAACATTCGTCTTTCATCCGAAAGGCTTCTTCAGTCTGAGGTGCTGTATTCAGCTCAGTCTTATAAATAGCACCTTCTCATAGTGGATCAACCAGTTTGCTGCTGACAACCAAAACCAGCTGCTCACATGATCAAGGAGGACCGTCAGCCTAACGATGGATCGTTAGCACCCTAATGTTTGTTTGCTATTCACAGGCCAGTGAATATGTATTTTTGAATGTCCAGAGGACCAGAATTAACTTTTTTAGATTTTTCTACCTGGATTATTGAGCATGCATCAGGATATTCTTCTGGAAGGTTCTTCTCTCTCCACAGAGGAACACTAGAGCTCTGAGAGGGTGACCATCAGGTTCTTGATCACCTCCCTGACCTAAGACCCTTCTCCCTTGATTGCTCATTTTAGATGACCAGCCAGCTCTAGGAAGAGTCCTGGTCGTTCCAAACTTCTTCTATTTACGAATGATGGAGGTCACTGGGCTCAGTGGGACCTTCAAAGCAGCAGAAATGTTTCTGTATCCTTCCCCAGATTTGTGCCTCGACACAATACCGTCTCGGAGGTCTACAGACGATTCCTTTGACTTCATGCTAGGTGTTTGTGCTCTGACATGCACTGTCAACTGTGGGACATTATGATGACAGGTGTGTCCATTTCCAAATCAAGTCCAGTCAACTGAATTTACCACAGGTGGACTCCATTTAAGTTGTAGAAACATCTGAAGGATGATCAGTGGAAACAGTATCCGAGCTCAATTTTGAACCTCATGGCATAGGTTGTGAATACTTGCGTAAATGTAATTTTTTAGTTTTTTATATGCATTGTACATATACATATATACATACACATATAAATAAAAATACATATATACAGTAGATACAGGGTTCCCCTACCATTTGATTCATGAACAACAGCTCTGGTGGACATCCCTGTAGTCAGAATGCTAAATGCACGCTCTCTCAAAACTTGCAACATCTGTGGCATTGTGCCGTGTCTGATAAAACTGTACATTTTAGAGTGACCTTTTATTGTGGTCAGCCTAAGGCACACCTGTATAATGCTGTCTAATCAGCATCTCAATATGCCGCACCTGTGAGGTGGATGGATCTTCTCCGGAAAGAAGTGCTCACTAACAGATTAATACAAATTCGTGAACAAAATTTGAGAGAAAAAGGCCTGTTGTGGACATGGAAAATGTCTTAGGAGTTGAGCTCGTGAAAAATGGGAGCAAAAACAAGTGTTGCGTTTATATTTTTGTTCAGTGTATGTTCATCCAGAAAACAAAAGGTGACACAAAGGTTCCCCAAAGCCTAAGAAGACATCTGTACCAGGGTTATTCACTTAAATCCTATCAAGTTAGAACATGAGTTAGTGTCTTCTGTAATGGACCTTTACTGCTGCTCATTGGTTTTGAGGTCACCTCATAGCAGAAAAGTTCTTGGGTCCAGTTCCAGCTGAGTCATTTCTGACTGGAGTTTGGAAGTTCTTGTTCTTTCTTGGGTTTTTGCTCCAGGGTCCTCCATTTCGGAAACCGGTTAATGCGCTATGACAGCTACGATATCGTCCAGACCCCTTGTGGCTCTGAACTAAAAGTAGAAATGGAAATTGAACATATGTATTTAATTGTATTCTAAAACATCAGTGTGCGATGCATGATCAGTGCACGACTTACTTGTTTTTTGCCGTGTCCGTTTGCGTCTGGTAGCAGCAGAGTCTCCATGTAAGCTTCTCCTTGGACAGGTAGAGTATAGGCTGAATGGTGCTGCTGAAGTCCATCAAGCCAAAGGCCACATAGTGAATGTAGCAGCGAAACACGTCAGGAGAGAAGTGGTCCTGGAAAGGGAACAGGGCAACAGGAGGGAAGTAGTTAAACACAATGATGGCCAGGATGATGAGAACCGTCCTAAAGGCTTTCTTCTTCACAGGATGCATGGTGTCTCTGCCAGGCCCAGACTGTCGCAGGGCCCAGAGAATGGCTATGTTACAGAACACCATGAAAGCAAACGCTGTGAGGATCATCACTGTGAAGACCTTCTCGAAGTTGAGGATGTTGCCCACACATTTAGCAGAGGCGTAAACCAGAATGATGAGCCAGACCAGAAAGGCCAGGACTGTTCTGTGTTTGCGATCTTTAAGAGCATTGAAAGTGATGGGGTGGATCACAGCCATGTAGTGGTCCAGGCAGATGCAAGATAGAAAGAGTGGCGAGAAGTCTTTGATGCCGTAGATGAAGCGCAGGATGTACCAGGTGGTGCCACTAGTGAGGAAAATGATGTCAACCAGCTCCAGGGGAGGGATAAGACAAAACAGCACGTCTAAAATAGCCAGTTGAAAGATGAAGATTTCCAAGGTGGAGGAGTCACTCTTGTTCTTGTGGATGAGCCACAGGACCATGAGGTTAGCTGGGATGCCCAGGAACATGTTTGCAAACTGCAGACTGAGATACCAGATGAGGACTGTGGGCATTTCTCTGCAGCTCTCATAGACCGTCTGCCTCCCACTGAAGTTTGAAGGTCTGTGAGAGATGAAGAGCGCAGAAGAGTTGAAGTCTGGAAAGTCCATGCTGGCTGTTCAGATTGTCCTGAGAAATAAAGATCTGTGAAATAAATGGAAAAACCTTATTGGGATGAGCTGTTATAAAAAAACACAAGCCATAAAACGGCATCACAGCCGCCTAAAGTTTACTGTCAGATTATTTATTCGTCGTCTTTCTGCATTTCTTTTCTTTTTTTCTTCACTAGCTCTCTAACGAGGCGCACACGTTCTCCCCGCTCCCTGTTCTCCTCCTGCTTTTTTGCTTTCGGTCTGTGTATCGGAGCAGCTCCTATTTTTACACATCTCCCGAAATGGAAACTACTGTTTTGGATCTGACCGACTGGACTTTCGACGTATATTACAAACTCTTTTCAACAAAGCAACAGGGTCCTGGAGAACCCTCATCTGCTCGAACATGCGGCTGGGTAGGTGGGGGGGGGGGGGGGGGGGGGGGGGGATGTGTCTACCTCTATTGACCGAGGACGCCGACATTTCATATAACTGGATTTATGATATTTGTCCCTTTTTCTATTTTAAAAATTGTACTCTGAATAAGAATAAGAAAGCCGCGCTTTATAGCAGCAGCTTCGTGCACTCCGCCCATCTTTCGGACGGCTGTACGTACATGTTCTCGTTGTATCTCGGTGCAATGATAATAAAGCTTATTCTGATTTTGATTTCTTCAGCTGAAAACACTCAGAAGTCCCAGCGACACACATAAGCTGTTCAAATGTTCTAAATGGTTAAGAAATGCTAACCTCAGTTCCTTCTTTGTCACTTTAACATTAAAAAATATATATATATAAAGGAAAAGGCCATCACAGTTCATACAAATCCATAATTAATGCAACGTTCAGGTAATTTTATGCAATCATAACTATTAGGTTTCACATGTGAGGAGTAACCGTTCATCTTTGCTTTTCCACATATTTTAACTACATAGTGTAATTTATAGCGACATAATGTATTCTGTTAAATATTAAATCAAGATGTTTGTGCAATGCTTTTACTGTAGAATACTTATTGAAGATGTGTTAATTCAGTGCTGCAGCCATCACAACTCAAGATAAATGTGAGACTTAAATGATGTTTTTCCTACCATTAGTTTTTAAATTGATGGCAGTTACAAACAACATTGAAGTAAAAAAAAAAAATCTTAATTTGTAATTTTTTTTTAATTATACTTTTACTTTTAGACCATAGCCCAGAACACACTATGAAAGTGTTTTTTTAATTTTAGTCAACCTTTATTTATAATCCCATTGAGCCTCGGAGACTCATTTACAAGAGAGACCTGATTTCTTTAACAAACGGTGATGACAACAGAGGATAACAACGACAACAATAGACTGTCGTAAAAGAGGCATACATACAGTATTAGAGGTTTGATTAAAACAGGTGTTTATTTGTGATTATATAGTCTCTTTATGAGTATTTAGAAAAGCACTATACAAATAAAATGTATTATTATTATTCATGTATTTTCTAATGGTATCCCTAAACTTTTGTTTCTTATTTGCATTTGTTGGGGAATTCCACTGGAAAAAAAAAAAGTTACGTCACTTTTACAAACTGGTTCCCCCTGTTAGTTGTGACAAAAATTCATCTACACCGACGAGACTTAAAAAGTTGAACTATAGAAAGCAGAACAAAAAGAAAGTCTGAGATCATCATCAGAGTTTAGAAAGTTTAGAAAGTTTAAAAGGTTCAGCATCCAAGTCTGAGCGAGGAAAATGTTCGGTATTAAATTTCCCCCCCAATTTTCAACACTAAATGGCTGTAATACATATTTTTATTATGATGTTAAGGTTTTAACCATTTTCCCTAATGTTCAGAATTGCACTAATAATGCTGTCTTTTTAAAATTATATTTATTATTTAAAATATCTTCCTGTTGCTGTGACAGTTTCATTATTATCCTCATTATTTTTCATGCTGAGCAGAAAAAAAATTATGATAAAAAATATTTGAAGCTGATAAACTGCTTTTATTTTATGTACTACACAGTGTGTATGTAAGTAATTTATATTACAACACATACTGGACTTCCCTGAAACACCGGTGGTTCATAATAACTTTTTTCCACAGTGTTCAATCTTTTTGATAAACTACTGTAATTTATTTTATTTTAACAGTAAACTTAAAAAAGGCAAACATTCAGCACTGTTACTTCTTGTATTTGGAATGTGAAGTTTCACATGCAGTGACATCAACAAACATGTGACAACCGAGAAATAATTTTAACGATCATATGGTCGTTTAAAGCGTGGATTAAATTACTGATGTGAATTGTTCAGTTTAATTTTTTCCTACAGCCTTTACGCTTAAAAACAGCAGTTCCTACCTGTTAGTGGTTCCCAGTTTGGTATGAAGGGATCTTTGAACTGTTGCAACTCAAAACTCCGCTCATTTCCTTCTCATGCAAAACTCAGCTCGACACAAAACAGCATGACTGTGGAAGGCATGGAAATGAGCTGATCAGCAACAAAAGCCTGCTCTGCTGAAGAACATGATCCAGCCTGGAGCTTCAGACCTTCACCCACTGATGGACTCCCTCAGATGTTTCACTCACCTGTTCTATGGGATCCTGTTTTCCACGCTCAGTGCAAATCTCCTCTCTGTATCTTGGACATCATTTGGATTAGGACCCAGCACTTCTCGGATACGTCAGATTGTCCAATCACAGCGTTGAGTTGCGGCTGTAGACGCTGAAGCTCTCCTCTTGGGCGCCATTGTGTCCGTTTGACCCCTGTTCATCCAACAGATTTGACATGAAATACCTAACGTGGTTTTATCAACCGAAAAGGTGGTAAAGCGGTGAAAACAGCAAAAGGTATGAAATCCGACAGTAACGAGTGCGGTTAAAGAGGAAGGAGCAGAAATGTTGTGGCACTCCGTTCACACTGATTGACAATGATGCAACAAACCTGACGGAAAATCGGCGGTAAACAACTGATGCAACCGTCCTGAAAACCATATCTGATTAAATTCACTGTAACATTGTGTAACACGTTACATGAAGCCGACGTGTTTTGAGGTCTGATGACTCGGAAACTGTGACCTCTGACCTTTTCACCATAAATCTTAGCGCATTTAAAAGACTGCGGAGTGTGGGAGTCACTTTGGAGTCTATTCACTAAAACAACAGCAAACACCGTTAACGCTGTTGCTTTATTAAACTCAAGGGTTCTGTCATCCATGTTGTCTTCTTGACTATGTTGGTTGGACTTGTCACAGTGGGACGTTCTGAGGTTAGTTCAGGCTGTTTGAACGGTTTTATTGTCGTGGTTTAACCCCGGTTTATTTATTTTAGTCTGTTTGTGTTTGAGCTTATTTGCATTTGTGTGTCTAAAGCAGACAAGTTGGCAACATTTTGCAGCAGTGACTCGTTTTATTGATCAATGGCACTTTATGAAGCTGCAAATTAATCCCACTACTGATTGAAACTTGTGAGCCTAAATATTTGATTTGTATTCATGCTTTGGTCTTTATTCTGTTCAAAATGGAGAAATCGTGTTTAAACAAAGTGATAGTTATGATTAAATCTAGCAGATTTTTAACAGTAGATACATGAGCGCAGCAAAAACAAGGAAAGCAAAGCCTGAGGAGTAAAATATTCAGTGTTATTTTTTAATATCTAACATGTTAATATGAATAAAAGAGCAATAAATATGAAGTGGAGCTTGAATGTTGCAGGTTTTGCTGCGGTTTTCATTTAGCAAAAGTAAAACTTGATCATAGCGCTACACTAAAACATAAACACTTATACAAAAGCAATTAAATAAAACTAATTTTAAATAATAGCTATAATTAATTAAAATACGAACATAAAACCTGCTACTTCAGCCCGAAACAGGAGCTGAAAAATAATAAAAAATTTAAAATAATGGCTGGATTACACAAATAAGGACAGAAATCACTGATGTGTTTCATGTAAAACTGTTTGACAAAGATATTTTAGTGCTCACGACGCAGTAAAGAGAAGGAAATCTGCAATAAAAAAATGCACTGAATACGTTAAATACAACCAATTAGACTTTATTTCTTTATTTCACTGCTTTTACTTTGATTTTCCCCCTGTACCAGTTTCATCCCAGAAGTACCATTAAGACAAATCTTCCTTCTACTGCAACTCACCCACTAAATACGGCTGTAAACGTTGTACGGCTTTATGGTTTTAAATCTAAAAGCGTCTGTGTTCAGGATTAATTTGACAAAACCTTATATGAAGATAATACAGGTGTTCCCATCTGATCTCCTCGGTGGAACGTACTTTGAGCTGTAAACATGCAGCCACAGCAATGGCTTAGTTTTGAACCGTTTTTGTTCCTGACGGATCAGAATCGTCTCACAGCGCCATCGATCATTCTTCACAGCTTTCTTCAACGTGCAAACTCCCAGATTTCTCAAGTCCGTCTCTCTTGCATCTTTCACAGCTGTAGACTGCCCGTCCAGCTTTCCTTTCACGTTTGAGACGTTTTAACGAGTTCACCGCGGCCCTGAAAGGTTACAGCCACCACAGGAGTCATGGCAAAAATGTACCGTATTTTTCAGACTATAAGGTGCACTTAAAATCAACAGTGAGCCTTATAATCAGGTGCACTTTATGTATTAATTTTGGTTGTGTTCACTGATCTCGAACCGATTTTATGTGGTTATTGTGAATGAGTTGAATAGTTTGACTTATATCTGTTTTGTTTTGCTTAATGCGCCTTATAGTCCAAAAAATACGGTATATATGTACATTTTTGGGGGCAGGTTATTGTCCAGGGAATCCAGAGCAAGTACTGACGAGTCTTTTGAATGCATGTTCGATGTATTAATCGAGGTAATAGTTACATCGTTACAGATAAGTGAGATAAGTGTTATAGACAATGTTCTTTGAAAGGGCCAAACTGATTCATTTCTCAACTCACCTGTGAAAACTAAAGAAAGTCTCAATATGAAACAGGCTAATATAAAATACAGAAAACCATTTATGTAATTCCTTAGTGAAAAAACACTGCAAAAACTAGAAAAAAAAATACAACAAATGTACACGAAGAGAAAGGAAAGAAAAAAAAAGTCTTCTAAAAGTATCAAACTGGAAAAAAAATGCGTATCTGATGGGTCACAGCAAGTGGGTGCAGCTGGTTGTTTTCATCTGCAGAAGTATGGCATTTCATTCCAACACAAAATATTCCTCACTGGCCAATAGCTGTTTGTGCTACGTTAAGTTCATGATCTGTTCTTTGTGCGGTTGAGCAGCAAGAGTACAAATAAGTCTTTTAGGAGAGGGACAGGAGATTTTGTTGATGCTGCAATCCAGCAAGAAATGGAGTGATTGGAATCATGGGACCTGCCTGAGTTCATGAGTGCTTCAGTCTTTCAGCTTCGATCAGGCAGGAAAATAAGAGCTTTTCATTTGGGTCGCACAGGTCAGAACTGATCATATCCAGGTAGTGCATGCTTTGAATCCTGTTGTAGTGGAGGGTCCTGGTGTGTTGTATATCTACTAAAGGTGCATTAATGTCATAAATGGTCAGTTGGGTAAACTTGTCTTGTTCAGTTCTCCTCCAGACCAGCACGCATACGTTGACAGGACTTCGTTATGATTCCCGTCTGACACTTGGCGCTGATGATGAGCTGTTTCAGATAAAAGTGGAATCCAAGGTGCTGGTGTCCTGAGCGCTGCGAGCGCGAGCTTCAAAAAGCTGCTTTATCAAGGCCGACTTCTCCTGCTCCAGCTGTGCGATCCGCTCACTCTTCTCTGTCACCTCCTGCAGGAGCAGAAAAGGAGAGCGATTAAAGGGGGGCACTTTGGGCGCGTGAATATTATTAGTTCTTCGTTGGAAGAGAAAGGGACTGTGTTGAACCTGAGTGAGAAGTCGGTTCTGGTCCTTCAGCCTCTGGATGGCCTGAGGGGGTGCTGGGGTTGGAGACTGGGAGTTAGTGGACAGCACTGCAGTCGGAGCACCACCCGAAGGAAAAGACGGCTAAAAAAACACAGTGGAAAAGGAAAACCCACACATTAGTTGTTAAATATCATCTTTACCAGACGTTGCTTTGTTAGAAACCTAACAAGTTTTATAATAAATACTTTCCATCCAGGTTTCCAGAGTATTCAAGTTTGCATTATTTTCAAAACAATAGTTAAATAAATGTTTCGACTTCTTTCTAATATTTCAAGGTAACACATATTCTGCTTCTAGCACACAGTTTTGGATTATTAATATAAGATTAAACAAATTATAAGTTTATTTTTGCTAATTTTTCTGTGGGTTTGGTCGGATTTGTTTGGAACTCCTGTATGAAATGACAACCTTTCAGAGGAGACCCAACCGTGTTCAGTCAGGTCATCTGGACAGTTTCTTTTGTTGCTGAGACATTTCATCCTTCATCCAAAGGACTTCTTCAGTCTGAGGAGTCCACCAAACCAAACTGAATCCCGCAAACAGCTGGTGATGGCATCCGGGACCATCTTTTGGGGACAACACCATGGTTTGGTGGACTCCTCAGACTGAAGAAGTCCTTCAGATGAAACGTCCCAGTGACAAAAGAAACCATCCAGATGACCTGACTGAACATTGCTGGATTTTACCTGGATTAATGAGCATGAACTTTGGTCTTTCAGAGGAGACTTCTCTGAAAGACCAAACGTTTTTAGCACATAAAATCAATTATTAAAAGAAACTCAACTTGTTATTTTATTTAAGGAGTACAAATCTACTCTGTGATCTTGAAGGTTTGCAAGTGGTAAGTTTGGATCTGATATTGAACTCCCATAAAACCGAACATGGTTGTGATTCTGCCAGGAACAAAGATTTTAATCTACCTAAAATACACACTTTGTTATTTACTGGTAGCTACTGTGATAAATAATTTTAATTTAAGAATAAGAAGCTTATTTTAAATCCTAGAACAAAGTAAAATCATATTTAAGAACACTTAGCACTCACCATTCCAGGGCAGGAAATCAGGTCATTAAGGCAGCGGCTGACGTCTTGTAATTTGGGAATGAGAACATTCATGCGACTCTGGCTAGCTTCTGTGAAGAAGTCCTGAAGAACAAAACAAACTAAATTAACAGAGAACTAATGTAATATAAGAGAAGAAGGGACTATTTCTGCTCATAATTTTTTTTTTTTACGCATCATAATTTATAAAGCCCTGTGATGGACTTGCGACCCGTCCAGGGTGTACCCCGCCCCTCGCACAGTGATTGACGGACATGGGCACCGTGACCCAAAATGGAAGAAGTGGGTAAAATATAATGGATGGATGTAATTTATAAACTGGTGATGCTAAGTTTTATTTTTTATTATAATAAACATCTGCTATACCTGTTAAGACTTTTACGTTTTCCAGGTTCATGTAAGCATCCTCTGTTTTTGCTTCTTTCGAGCGGGCCTTACCGTACATTGAGAACTCTGTCCGACCTGTCGCTGTCTCTCTGCGACGTTGTGGATTTGGCCCTGGTACCAGTCCCGGGCCCGCTCCACCACTTCCAGGCCTGCCAGCAGGGAGTCCTTCTCCTGCTCCAGCTCTTTCATTTGCTTCAGCTGCGAGAGATGAAAAGTGAAGCACAAGTGACAGGACGGAGGTGAATGAATTTAAATCAGAAAACGTTGTGCTTGGAGCCACATTCTGTGATTTGATCATGTTTTGAAGTTTCTTATGCCGTCGTTAAATTGCTGCCAAGGTTTAATCTAATCAAAGATGTCGCTCCACCAACAAAGTTTGTAGACACACTCGTTTTTTTGCAGGGCATCTGCAGCACACTCCTCTGGATGAGACAATGGCGCCGCACCAATAGTGTTAAACTCTTTCCTGTCCTGAGCAAGGTTTAGAGGAGAAATGAGTCCGGCGTCATGGCAACCACACAGCAACCTAAGAAAGGGGTAAACAGTGGCTCCACTTCAACTATGGCCACCCCAGTGTGTGTCTGTGAAAGAGAGATGTGTGAGAGAATATGTGTGTGTGTTTGCAGATTGAGTTGTGCTGACCAGGCTGTCCATGTTGTACACTGCTTCAGTCCAGGCCTCACTGCTGGCATTCAGCCACGTGGTGTGTCATTTTTCTGTCCATCCATCGTCCCTGAGCTGCTCGCTACATTCCACTGGTCATAACTCATTGAGTCAGAGAAACGCTGCGATCATGGCCCGATGCGAGACCACAATCCAACCCCTGCAACATTTTTTCAGCTCCTTCCGAAAAAGCCATAAACAAGGCATTTACAGACAAAGAGAACGAGGGAGTCGGGGGTCTTTGCCAAGAACAAAACGAGACCCAGTGTCAGGCTGCATGAATGTGGGCTGAGCCACACGGAGGACAAACAAATAGAAGAAAGGAGCAAAGAAGAGAAAACAGGGAGGATGTAGGGCATCAAAGGGATGAAGTTGTGGAAAAAAGTGCATGTGGGTTTCTGTGCTCGTCTACTCAATTAAACAGACAGAAATAAAAACAACAAAGCACACCTAACAACAAGACACCCACTGCACAAACTCTTTCACCAAATCAAACAGGCCGTGGAGCTTTGGTACAAAGAACAGAACAGGTTAAATGAAATAAACAATGGATCGTTATTTAGTCTAAAAAGTGTCTCAGAATAATAGAGAAGTATTTAATTATCTCCGTTCTTGACAGTCAAGTTTTTTTTCCAAGTTATTTAAGTTATAAACAAGCAGAAACTGTTTTTGCTGAATCATCTCACATGTTTCTGCTCTCACTGAATCCTGTGAACACGGTCAGTTTGAAGGCAACGAATCCTTAAAAGTTCCCCGGGATTCTTTTTGAGCAACATATTCATGTTTAAGTGCATTTTATGTAAAAATAAATAAAATAATAATAAGTTTAACCAGCAGCAGAGAACTGTTTTTTTAATGGAGGGAAAAGTAGTCACTAAATAACAAATCCCTTTTATTTTCCTACAAGAAATGTGTTGAAACATCTACTTTCTTATTTCAAATGTGGTGCACACTCCACAACATGGGAATAAACCAACACACACGTCTCTAAGTTTCTAGAATAACGGCAACAACATAACCCTGTCCAACAAACAAATCACAGCCTCCTACTTCCTGCATTGTCTGAACTGTCACAACAATTCATCAGAATAACCGGATGCACATATTGAAATACTCTTCATAAAAGCAATATTTAAATCCATCTATTCTCCATAAACATTTCCAGGATTCCCTCCCCAGATATCTCGCCCTCAGCCTACTCACCCAGAGGAAAAAGTGCAGAGCCTTGCTGCTGTACAGGCTGTTGCTGAGGGGGATGAAGACGGTGGTGTAGGCAGCCCACACAGCCGTCCAGGCTGGGCCGGCCGAGCAAAGCGAGTCCTCTACTTCTACCAGGCCCCTGGGCCCGACCCGGCTCACTACCATCAGGACAGCAGTGGGCCAAGTTGGCCAGGGTGAGAGGGATGGGGGGGGGGGGGGGGGAGAGATGGGGCAGGAATGAAGGGGAGTCAATATGTTCTCCTCTCCAGACACAGAAACCAGGAGAAGAGACGGAGACGAACACAGAAAAGAAAGAGGGATAGGAGCTGGAAAGAGTGAGAAATGATGAAGCAGGGAGAAAGACAAAAAGCCAGAGGAGGCCCGAGCTCTGCTGGATGGTGGGAGGGTCAGAGAGGGGGCCGGCAGGAGTGGGGTGGATGCAAAGGGATGGGAGGGGAATTTGTGTGAAAGTAAAAAAAAAAAACCTGTGCTGGGAATTACTTTTCACTGCTTTACACTTTATCATACATATATATCTTTTACGCATATGTAAATGTTTGTGTATTCATATTTATAACTATATTTTTCTAATTCTATACACTAATTGTTTTGTTTACACATTTTCCCAACATGTCTGGTCCAAAACATGTAGACGTCTATCTCTTCAACTTTATTCTTTATCGTGAACCTAAAACAAGTTCAAACAGGGTTTTGTTTCCCTCTCAGAATGTCTAACCAGAGTTTCTGCTTTATAGCCAGTGAAAAACTATTAAAGTCAATTAAAAGAACCATAAAGTTCACAGCAAATCTCATTTTGAACATCTGTCTATTGCTACAAGAAATGTGTTGTTGTTCAGTAAAAATACAATCTAGCTCATAAATCTTGAATAGCTACTTAAAATGCTAAAAATACATTTGAAAAAAAAAAAAAAAAAAAAAAAGTCCCGTCTTTTACATAGATTCAGTTTCTACATCAAAAATAAATTATTTAAATACATTTTCTATAAGCAGACTTTTAGTTAGACACAGGTATTTTTATACTTTACATATATCTTTTATGCTTACATGTGTAAATGTATGTGTATTTTTATTTATAACTGTACATAGTTCAAATTAAATATACACGCTATTGTGATAATATTTCTGTGAAAAGTGCTTTATACTTTTACCAAAGCAGCACAAATAGGAAGTTAGGGATTTGTTTACAATGAAACGATTGGTCAATATAAATAGATAAAAAATTAAAAGCACTTTTTATTAAAAAAACATAAAATTAGTTTAATCAACAATCTAAGAGATAAAGTGCAGTATTTAAGTGAGCCACGTGAAGATCCTTGTTGTTTTTGCATGTGCAATATTTAAAATGTATATATTTTTTTTAAATCAGTACCGCAAGCTCATTTTTATAGTTATTTACACTTATTAATATTTGAATACTGTTTAATTCTTAACTACATTTTTGGAAAATTTATTTGAAACAATAAATGGCACCGAACAAAAATTAAGAACAAAACAAATCACTGTTTGTTGTTTTTATAAAAACTATGTTATTAAATGGAATCGATTAACGAATGAAGTATTTCACACAAACACTGCCAGTGTTCATAATAAAGAGTTTGGCACCTTTAGAAACGTACAAATATAAAGTATTTAATAATTTATGCACATTTGAAATCGACTTGAGTTAGTCAAATTATAATGAGGACAAATATTCTTGGTTTAAAAAGTTAAAAGGCTTGATACGAAGTTATCTGTCCTAACTCTGCCGCACATATAAACACCAACAGCACAGTAAAGCTCTGTGTAAGTGAGGGTGTGTGTTCATACACTAACCATTTCATAATCCACTCCGTTGGAAATGGTATGCCTCCTCTGCTCCTCCCGACTCCGCCCATGTCGTCTGGAACCTCCACTAAAGCCTGTCGCTGATTCACTCTGAGATCTCGGTAAACCTGATTTCACAACGCCTGGACAGAAAGAGAACAAACACGTCTCAACACTGCACTCCGTAATCCTGGCTCAACTCAACTGTAAAGACAAAAATGTATAACCCTCATTAATAACCAATATTTGATTTATTGCACAATTGATCAATTCAAAGACACTGAAATGTGTTGGAATGCAAGCATATGGGTTAACAGACATTACTTTATTGGCACATTAATGTCAGACATTAGAATTACACGGCATCATGTAAAGTAATATATGAATCAGAAACCCTTACTGTGCAACAAAGTCATGGACAAAAATATGTATTATTCCAAAAGAATAAATGTACAGCTGTGTGCTGGATCAAACATCTGCATCCTCTGCCTTTTGTCACATTTTGTTTTTGTTTAAATAATGTGAACAACTAACAAAACCTTCATTTGAATTGCTAATGTTGCTAATTGCTGATGTTCAATGTTTTATGTTATGAGTGCTTAGTGTATATTTAGTTGATGTTTTTCTTAGTTCATATCTTAGATGTTATTACTGTTTTTCTTATACATTTTATTGTTGGATGTAACTGGGACCTTGTGTACATAATTTCGCTCCACCACATGTACCACATGAGGTGCGAATGACAATAAAGAAACTCTGACTCTGACTCTGACTCTGACTCTAATTCATTTAGTTTGCATGTCGTACCACAAGAGGGCGCTGTACTGTTTGAAAGAGTGTTATTACAGGAGCAAAACAGTTTTTCCTTGTTCCTGATTTGATTGTCTGAGATAAGTTCAGTGAAGCAGAAGAAAATACGTGGAAAAACCTGAGGCTCATTGACTATTATTATTATTATTATTATATCTCTGGCTCTGAACATTTCATTCTCTGAGACACGATTATGAAAGCAAAAAAAAATGTTATTTGAAATAAAACACTCCTGCAAACGCTTGGATAACGATGCTGGTGTGAAGTGGACGACTGAACGAACAGTGTACAAAAATGACCATGAGTATTTAAATAAAAAAAATTAAAAAAGCAACTTCAAAACTAGAACAAAACAAGATTTATGGAAAAAAAAAATCAAAGTATAATCCCAAATTAGGTTCTGTCATACAATCCAAAAATGTGTTTATACAAATGTTTTACTGCTTCATTCTCTCTCAAAACACTAAAAGAGTGTGGTATGAAGAATTCCTGAAGATTAAGAATTTGGGGAGTTGTGTTCTCTAATGGGGCCAGGTCAGGATCGCTGACATTCCAGTATTTATACACTCATGCTCCACTTTGCTCATACCTGTGTAACGTGTGCAGAAAGTGGTGTTGAAATGCACTTTTCTGTGTTAATGTCACCGTCACAGTGATGTAAATTACTTTTGCCAAGTACTCTAAACAACTCCATGCCATCACAGAATCTGGCTTTAGATTTTTTTTAATTAATTTTTATATTTGATCCCTAATGGCTTACTTTTTAAAAGTATTTTTCCACTGTGAGGAAAACATGTTGCCTCTGAGCTGTGAAGCATATTAAGGTTTTTGCACAACTAAGTTTTATTTTGTATTTGGGATTTTTTTAAATTTTTTAATTTAGTTCTTTGAAAGCATTTAAATAAAACCAATCTAACTTTGATTAGTCTGTAAACGCAGCTAGTGCTTTCTTTCCTCAACCCAAAACACGCTGAAAGAGAAAGTGCTTGCAGGGAATTTGTGATGACTGCAGCGGTGAGTCACTGAGCCCTGGTCTGTCAGCTGTAATCTGGACTAAACCCACACATTTTGGCTGCACGTGAGAGATTATAAGAGCAACTGATGTCCATGGTTTTATGATAGTCAGTCTAAATTGTAGCTATTTAAACTCCCAAACTTCATGCTGATGTGTAACAACTGAATGTTTCAGTCCAAAACAGCAAACATCAGCATGCAGATGTGGACAACTGCAGCTAAAGGACTCATCTGCTGCAGATTTGTTGTATTAAACTGCAGAAACATGAGTCAGGGCACTGGTACTGAGAAATAAACTCAAGTTCATGGTCAGAGAATGCAAATCTGAAGTGCTGCCTAACGTTTTAGGGATTGAAAGCAACCCTATAATTTTATTCTGAGCCGCATAACTTCAAAATACAAACAACCACTGACCAAAACAATCAAATGTGTGAGTTTGTTTGGTGCCAAAGATTCATTTCAGAGTTGCTGAGGCCATTGGACACGTCACATGACACCCTGCTTCCTGCCAAAACCAGGAGAGGTTAGATTGCACAGCTGATCCTTGTGCAGGATGACAAGATGAGGAAAAAAACAAACTTGCAATAGTTATAAAACTACAACATAAGCATAACTGGATGAAACGATCTAGAAAGCTTTAAATGACAAATAAGATGTTTATAAAAGTTGCATTGTGATGTTTCTTGTAGGTTGTATTTTAGAAAGTATATGTATGTATTCCTATTATATCGGAGAAGTAAAAAAACGTAGAGCAGAAAAATAATAAGAGATAAATGCCTTATACTCCTCCCCTGTGTCAGCATTATGAAACAAACCTTATCCATGCATCTATCCATGAGAAAACCAACTCTGTCCTGAGCTCGAGTGGCTTCAGCAGTGAACGCCCTGAGGGCAGGACAGAGATAGCAAGAGAAAGTCTATTTGGATATTCCAGACAGGCCTGAGTTTACAAGGACAAATCAAACTCTGAGTCTAGCTGAGCAAGTACGAGTGTGCATGTGAGAGACAAATGAAGCAATGTGAGAGTAAAACAGAAATGCTTTGACAACCTATATACATAAACAAGATAATAACGGGGCAAGTACGGGAGATCCTCCAAACTCAAGTGGGGCAAAAATGAGCGCGACTCATTTTTCCTACTGGAGAGGATACATAAAACTGCAAGCTCCCTCTTGGAGGAAAACACACAATTTGTGCAATTCCTGACATGATCTCTGACCTTGTCTGGGGTTAACAAAAGCAATTATTCAACTGGAGACTCATGATTTGTACACGGGCTGCTAACCCGGCCCTGTTTAAGCTGTGACATAATACTGATACATGAGAAGTGTCAGGATCCAACGGTCGCTCCTACTGAGCCTCACTGAGGTTCTGCTGAGGGCTCCCATCCTTTGTGCTATTGTTACCCATAAAACTCCAGCTACGTGACCCAGTGCTGACATGCAACATCTCTGCACATATACACTTCTGTGGACAACATGGTTCAGTGCATCCAATGAGATTATGAAAGTGATGCACAGCTAGGGAAAATTTAACAACGACATGTGGTGCAACTGAGAAGCTCTTCCATCTTTTTTTTTTATATATCGTCATTGCTACTTTTGTTGCAATACTGTGAATTTCCCTGCTGGGGGATGAATTAAAAATATATTTAATTCAGTTCAGTTTACTTACACAAGTCATCTCAGGGCAACATACAAACAAAGTCTGACTCATTTAGATTCAGATTTAAATCAAAGTTGTCAATACAATTCTTGTTATCATACAATAAAGTCACATATTATAAAATGCCAATTAGAAAAAATCAATTACATTTTACTTATTTAGTTGTAATACATCATAAGGTGCATTCTGGAAGTTATTAATCAATGCAAAGCAACTTTGGCACTAAAAGCAAACTAAAAAAACTGTAAAAGAAATGAAAAAATAAATACTTTTTGTTCAAAACAAATGGGTACGCTTATAGATGGCTAATAAATAGTTTATATGTTATTAATTCCTCTGTAAACACTTTATAAATCATTAATAACAGTTTATTATGCATTAATTAAGGGTGACAGAGACAAAACCGACCAGTTTCTTGCTAAATAGTGAGCCAAATCTGTTCACCTACATATTTAATCTAGAGTTGTTATATTAAACATTTCCCACCAACTTACTACCATGTAAGCACAATAAGCACCTATTTCTTTAGCATATAATATTGTACTTTAATATAAGTATCTACAACTAATATAGCCTAAAAAAAATAATTCTAAAAACAGGCTGTTAAAACAACTCTAGATTAAATATATAGGTGAATAGATTTGGCTCACTATTTAGCAAGAAACTGATCAGTTTTGTCTCTCTGTCACCCTTAATTAATGCATAATAAACAATTATTAATATTCATAAAGTGTTTATAGAGGAATTTATAACGCATCTATAAACTGTTTATTAGCCATCTATAAGGGGAGCCTTACTGTAAAGTATTACAAAGATTAAATTAGTCTGTTAGTAACTTCCCCAACTTTGTTAATCTAATTGAATTTGGTAAATTATAATAGAATAATACAGATTTCAGAAGAAATCCTGGCCAGAAGACTTACATGGATCCTGATGGAGCTGTGGGGACTCCAGGGCCAGCGACTCAATCGCCCTCATCCTGCTCTGCTGAGGCTGTGCAGCTTTGGAGCCATGTTGGACCGGGTCGGTTCGGTAACCCCCATCCTCCGGAGCTACAGGAACCCGCTCCAAACTCCGCCCGGATCTCTGGAAGTCCGCGCCGTACCGCACCTGTCCACACGCGGGATACCCGGGCCCGTCCTCCGGCCTGGCCCGGCTCTGCAGAGAGGACCCCCGGTGCTGCTGCTGGGTGTTCGTCACGTTGCTCGGTCCCAGCGGGCGGACCTTGTTCTCCACCACAGGTCCGACGCCACACGATGCGGGGACGGGTCTCTGTGGCAGAGGGTGCACAGCAGCCTGGGCCTTGAAGTGGGAGCTATTCTCCGGATTGAGCATGGAGTACCGCAGCCCAGCCACGAACCGCTCAAAAGTGAGACAACCGTGCGGCGGAGTGACCCTCCGGAGGCAGCCCAGCACTCCGCCCGGCAGCTCCCTCGTGTCTGCGCCCTGCCAGCGACTCTCGATCTCCGAGATGTGGACGTAGCCTCGTCCGCTGTCGTCCAAAATGTCAAAAAGAGTCCTTAAACTATGCAGGAAAGCTTTGGGCAGCCCGTCGGTTTCTTTGGGCTGCATTTTGTTAGTTTTAAATCCGTTCAAATGGACTTGCATCACGTCTTTTCCTGCTCCGACTCTGTTATAAATCACCGACGTCCCGTTCGGTTTGAAGCTCGGGTCAGTCGCTATCAAAGCCATGAAGTATTGATAACTTTCACTACTTAATTACTCAAAAGCACACCAGCACGAGCTGATTATAAGTTTCGTATATGCGTAAAGTTAAACCAATTAAAAATACTTAACTGCGTCTTACTTACGGAACAACAAAAACATTTATGATGTTAAATCTTTTATCCTAAACCCCCAAAATGTATGGCTAACTACCTCCATAGCTCTGACGCTGAGACTGATCCATACTTTCCTTCTTATGCAAGACCGCCCTTCAAACGGCTGTGCGCGAGCGTCCCGGGATCAGCCATTGGTTGGGGCATGCGCGAGCTCGTCACTGATTGGCTGTGACCGGAGATAGGCCCTATTTTGAGTTGTGCTTTTGTTATTACGACGCCGGAGAGACGTTATTCATAAAGGCTAAATGATATTATATCCCTCCGCCTAATCAAAAAGAGCTGCTACCTTACAGGCACCCCACACAAAACAACACAGATATTGAGGGGAAAATCATTAACTTAAATGATTAAATTACACCTTAGTATCAATGTAGTATGCAAATGTTTGTCATTGAGATGGAATTTAAATAGCCTAATTTATAAAGTTTTTAAAATTCATTGTCATGTAGCACAAAGAGATTCATATTGTACTACAATACAAAGGGATATACAACATCTCTATTACATTATAAAAGATGGGGTTAAAATCAAGAGGTTTCTAAAGTTTTTTAGGTTTCCCATCTTCCTGTAATTGCTTGTACATATTGCAGTGTGTGCACCATACATAGAAATTTTGTGCAATAAATATATAAAAAATCTTGTTTACCTTGTTTTTTTTATTTAGCTACAACCTTATACTTCTCACACAAGTGAATCAGTCGAATAACTTTGTTAAATGCACATTTGATTGTATTTTGTTTACATTTATTTGTTGTTTTCTTTTTTAACTAGGTCATTTTTTATTTGGTTTCACTGTATTGAAAATTTACCTGTAAATTAGGTTACTATAAGTAATAACAATGATCGAGATTGAGTGCAAATTGTTTTTTTTACCACTCAAAATGACCTCGAGTTAGAATCGCCTTTGAGAAAAAACTATTTTTCTTGGTCACATTCAGCGTTTTGATTGTTTTACATCCAACTCAGTCACATGAAACTCAACTCTGCAGTCCTTTGTCTCTGACCTGCCTCGACATGAACTCTCATCCGGTCGTCATCAGCAAAAACTGTATTTGTGATTAACCCTGAAGACAATGCCAAGTTGTTCTTGTAATCATTACACGGGCTCTTCTGTTGGGTTTCTTGTCAGACCAGATTTAGCTTCCTTATAAAACAACAGTTGTTCCTGCATAAGGACGTGCCCTTTCTGTCACCCATTCACCTTCAAGGCTGTGGGAACAGTGGGTGCTGATGGTGATACAGCAACCCCTTTTCTAGATAACATGAAATAACATAAAAAATAGAAATACAAAAGGAATGAATAAATAATAAACAAAAAAATCCAATTATCTTTACCCACTTCTTCTTTTTCGGGTCACTGGTGCTTATATCCAGCAATCACTGTGCGAGAGGCGGGGACACCCTGGACAGGTTGCAAGTCCATCACAGGGACACAGAGACGAACAAGGCAACCATTCACTCTCTCACTCACACCTAGGGACAATTTAGAGTTACCAATCAGCCTAACATGCATGTTTTTGGTCTGTGGGAGGAAACCGGAGTACCCGGCGAAAACTCACGCATGCACGGAGAGAACATGCAAACTCCACTCCAAAAGGCCCCTGCGGGGATTTGATCAATGTTCTTTTTTTGCTGAGAGGCAACAACTCTCTACCAACGGAGCCACTGTGGTGCCCAAATAAGTAAATATATATATTTAAGTTTATAAATCAAGTTAATTTGTATGATAACTTAAGATTAAGCAGGTGTTTGATTGGATCTCTGTTGGCTGTAATGAAGCTTTTCTGACAGCACCAGCCGCCCCCTCACATGTTCCACAGCTACAATCACACATTATGCATTTATTTAGGGACATTTATAAAAATAAGGGTTTGACTTTTCCCACATCTTCTTTAGGTTTTTTCCTCTTTAAGGGTCGCCACAGCGAGTCATCCTCCTCCATCTCACTCTGTCCTCTGCATCCTCTGCCCTCACTCCATCTACCTCCATGTCCTCTCGAACTTCATCCATACATCTCCTCTTTGGCCTTCCTCATTGTCTTTTTCCTGGAAGCTGCATTTCTACCAATATACCCACAGTCCCTCCTCTGGACGTGTCCAAACCATATCTCCCAGTTCTTCAACCTGTGCTGTACCTCTGATGATCTCATTCCTAATCTTATCCATCCTTGTCACTCCTAAGGAGAAACTCAACATCTTCATTTCTGCCACTTCCTGTTCTTTCTCCTGTCTTTTTGTCCGTGTCTCTGTCTCCAGACCATACAACATAGCTGGTCTTGTAAACTTTTCCTTTGACTTTTGCTGACACTCTTTTGTCACAAACACTCCTGAAACTTTTCCCCATCCACTCCATCCTGCCTGGACTCTTTTTCACCTCTTTACCACATTCCCCATTTTCCTGGACAGTGGACTCTAAATATTTGAAGTCCTGCACCTTTGTGACCTCTGCTCCTTGTAGCCTCACTGTTCCACTGACCTCCCTCTCATTCATGTACTCTGTCAAACCAAAGCTGACTTTCATTTCTTTTTTTAGTGCATATGGTCACCTCTCCATGTTCTCTTCCACCTGTTCCCTGTTCTCACCACGGCATCTGTAAACATTATAGACATCAGCCACAAAATGGATGAAAATTAAATAATTTTGAACATATGTAGATTTTACACATCACAAATGTTTAAAAAAAATCAAGAAACATGTGGGGGGAACAACACACGTTCTCCACTTTGATTATTTATCTCACAGGGTTTTACAGGTGAGTGCACGCCTGATCTCCCTTGTTCATGTTGTTGCAGACAACCCTAACTATACAGCTGTTACACAAAAATGCACACACATCTGTGGGCTTAACAAGCAACCCAAAAGGCCACACCACTCTGCTATTTGCTTTGGACATGCCCCACTGATCATCTGCCATCCATCCTCCCTCTCTCATCAGCTCCTGTTTTCCAAGTTTCTCCACGTCTTACCCTTCAGCAGTATCCATGCGCATGTGTCAAAGAACGTGAAGGCTGTTTTTTGGATCCAGAAAGGCAGAGATTTGAAAAGCTTCAATTCTTGGAGGGGTTAAATCAGATTTGAATTGCAGTGGGTAAGTGCAAGAAGAATATAAAAGAAAGGAGTGGATTCAAACAGGGATATACTACGACATTTCTTAATAAACATGTTTTCCCCCATTGCAAAACGTGGATTTGTGTTCTCCACAGATTAGCAGCTTGGACTTTAGTTGCATTTCCTCAAGATGTTAAAGTATGTTAGAAAGACTCTACTGTTTCGTAGACTGGCACTGCATGGCGCAGATTTTCACTTTCTAGTATTCTGACTAACCAAAGCAACTGGGAGAGCAGTGTAAATCAAACGTAACATATATTTTAAAGATGTCATCGCCCCCTAAAATAAATGTAGACCACGTTTATCAGTTTCACTTTTTGATTTGAAATTCAAAAAATTTATTTATGGTCTCCTTTTGTTTCTTTGCAGAGACCAAAGCCTTAACATTTCACGGTAATTACAAAAGAAAGCTTGACCTTTATTCAGCAGTTATAAGCTGAGCAAGTTTAAATTAAATTTGACAACTTATATTTTTATGTTTTCACGTATTTTTGATTCATAAACTGTAGTTCTTTTAAGAGTTATTGATGTCATTGATCCATATCTGCCTTTTCTCTTTTTAGAGCTTTATTTTCCCCTTTGTTTGGTCCAAAACATGAATATGTGGGAGTCGAAGCAGTATTTTGGTTTTTGCTCTACATGTTGGGATTGTGTCCGTCTATAAATACATATGTTCATTCAACACATGATTTAGTTTTATTATTCTTATTTATATTTACAGCAGGCTCGTCTTTATGTAGCTGTGATGGGTCTGAACAGATCCTTCAGTGACTTTAATGTTAATAAAGCTCCTCTAGAAAAAAAAAATAATAATAATTTTCTCATTGTTGCTGCTGTAAAAAGTGTTGATTTTATATGTCACTGTAAGTTCAACTGAATGTGTGTTTTTATTAGATGTTAAAATCATAAAAGTGTTCAGTTTTTTCATTTATTCTAATACAAATTTTAGGTTAAAAGCTTTAATTTAAGCTGCTTGGCATAACATACATTTTACTATGATGGTTAAACATGTTAAAGCAGTTTTACTGGGATCAGTCAACCCATGCAGGTCAAAACAGACACTTTAGCATTTACCGGAATATGAAGTGAGGAACGTTTATGTGTTCTTATGTGGCAGCTTTCAATAGCCAATGTGGTGGTTTTTTGTGTGTCTAAAATGTATCAATATTTGCTGTAAAGCATGGCAAGATTATTTTAGTTGTTTTACCAGACTATTTTGGATATTAATTTCCTTTGTGGAGAATAAAAACTGAAATCCAGGAGTTATGTTGCTCTTTTGAAACATTTTATTAGTGGGATCCAAGTGGCTGACTTCTATATCCCTCTGCATGTCTTTATGTCAAACTGCAAACAAATAGGGAAGTTGCAAAGTCTCTTACAGGTTGTTTTAATTTCTGCTTTATTCTTTATAACCAAAGCTGATCTATGATCATAACCTGGCTTGAATCCATCAAAGGCTCCAACACACAGGATCATATTAGTCAAATATCTAATTATTTCTGCAGCAACCATCAGTGGTAGGTGCTGGCAGTGCAGAGTTAATTCTGTTGCATGACAAACCAACATATCCAAACAATAATACAGATCAAAAGCTTAACATCAGATTCCTGCTAGAATCCTACATAAAACCCTGGCCTGCGGTTTGAGGAACACACATTTAATCCATGTTAATGCTGTTATGAAATTGAAAAGCTCCATAGAAAATTAAATTATACCATTTTGACACATGAGGAAAAACATAAAACTCTCCTAACAAATACAGAGTGTACGTTTGTACACAAACTCCATATATAAATACTTGGAAAAAGCCATTGTAGATGAAAAATAGAGTACGTTTACTCCATGGCATCTCCATATTTTGTCTTCTGGGGTCCTTGCGATGCCTCTAGTTGAGGTACTGAAAAACAAAAAGAAAGAAAAAAAAAAATCTAGAGCGATAGAGCTGCATTCTGTTATATCATCTATTGTCACCAAATTAAAAAAAGTATTACTGTATAGTAAAAATAATTCTAAGGCTCAAAGTGTGTTTACTTAATAGAATCCAGTTTTATCATATATTTAATCAACAAGTATCATGAGAAAGATGATGAGTAGCATATATTCAGTTATTTGTTCACGAGTATTCTCACCTGGTGCTGGTGATCTGTCCGGGACTTTGCCAGTTTCAAGCATCAACCAAAGATCTGAACATTTCTGTGTTTCCCAGCGAGTTACGGCATAACTGCACAGCGATGACGCCACTAAAAGAGGGCAGCGAGAGGTTTCAAACAAGGCACTCAGAGGCTGCAGAGTATCCAGCCTACATCAGATTTTTGGTGTATTTTAAATGTCTGAATGATCACCTATGGAAATGAGCAGATTCCACTGAAGAGGATAGGGCAGCTTCTTTTGTAGAGCCTTCTGAACGGTGAAAAAACCTGCAACACCTGCAACCACAGAAAGCATTTGTTTCATACTGGGTCATATGAAGAAAAGCGCAAATTTACACTCATTTATTTTTATTGCATCAATACATGCTTCTTGTTTCTGCTGCACTGTTTTTTTTTATGCATATTTTTCCAATACTTAATAAGCAAAACATTATGTTTGAAATACTATGTTGGGATAAAGAAAATCAGACCTGTACAGTTCTTTTGTGATGGGCAAGAGATTTTTTTTTTTCCCAATTAAAAAAAGTGAAGTTAGTACCATTTGCTTTTTTGTATCACATTTTTAAATGTGCACTACTCTTGGTGATCAGTTAATAAACTGCAGACACTGACTCATGTATTTTTGCCTGTTTGCTTGCATTTTTTAAACTTTCAGTTATTTGTTCACATTTTCTGATGCCTTCCTTGGTTTACTGACATGAGGTTTTTTTTTTCAATCTTATTTATTTATTTGTATTTCTGTATTTCCTCCAAGGTAAAAACAAACCCCCTATGTTAAATTACTGTGTTAAGAAGTTTTAAAATCCTTTCAGGCCTCCTGTTAGGTCAATGTTTCTTTACAATAAACACAGAGTAAAGTGTTTCAGGGTCTGAAATCGTTGCTTTATAAATATAGGTCAAATTGCATATTTTTGTCTGATCTAGAAATAAAAATGACAATTTTTTTCATATTTTCCCACCTATTTAAACAAAAAGTCATATTTAAAACAATTGTATTTATAATATCTGTGATATATCTGCCTCATTGAGCAAGGTTAAAGTCAAATATTTAATGCCAAAATATGTTTTTCCTTTAATTTACAATTCAAGAATCGTGTGTATTATTTTTCCAGGAGTTTCACGTATAAGGATTACAGCGCCCTCTAGTGGTTTATATTATACGTTTCATTTTAATGGTTTAATTTCATATCCAACCCATTTAAAGCCACTTTCATAGGCCAAAGTTTTGTACTTAATAAAAAAACACAAAGAACTAAAACAGCTAAAAACGCAATAAATAAAAACACAATAAGATTCCACAAAACGTCAAAATACTTGGGATTACAATTGGCAAAGTTTACGACTTTGATTTCAGGATCTAAATAAGAAACAACAAACAGATATGTCAAATACAAGCTGGTATTATTAAATAATATTCAACACAGAATAACATATATTTATTTTAAAGAACGATTTCTAGTTCTTCGTGAATAAAAAAGAACATTACCCAGTAAAAAGGTCCCAGTTCCCTTCATAAAGGCGCGAGACTGACAAGCAGCGTAACTTTGTAACCCCTGAAAAACAGACACAACTTTAAGAAATGCAGCTTTTTCTTTATGACTGAGTCTCTAAAACATTACCGTTTAATCTTTGGTGCATTAGAAAAATGTCAAGTGTGTACAGCAGCTGAATATCCGCTTCATAAAGTACATGTTCTCTAAATATCACTGCTTCCGACCAACAACAAATTCTCACCGGATGTTTTGCAGCGACCGCGTCGTCTACTTTTCTCAAACCGAGATTAACCATGCTTTCTAGAGTTATAAAGCAGAAATTATAAATAAAGGTTGAATAAATTTGATTTTTAGGAGACGAAATCACATTCTGTTTATATTGTTACGAAACTTCCGCGTTCAACACAAAAACACAAAAGCGAAGAAGAGCGTTCCGTTTGAAGCGTTAGCGACACCTAAAGGTAGGAGGGCGGTACTGCACCATAGCGCATTAGCGACATATAGTGGTAGAAAACTATAATTTCACCTACAGGATGATCTGCTGAATGATGGTGCATTTATCAAGTCGTATCAGGTCTTTGTTTTCTGATTTTTTTTCAACATAACTTTTTAATGCTGTTCATCAGCTGTAGAATTTTATAAATTTTAGTCCAATTCTGCCACTTTTTCCTAAAGGCACACTGTTATGTAAAGTTATGTTAAATTTACAAGGATTGGGAAGGCAAAAAAGAGACCAGAGTAAAAATAAATAAATAAATTAAAATAAAGAAACCTTGGGACAGTCTATCTATGCTCTAAATAAAATAGTACATTTTAAGAAAAGTGATAAAGTTTAATTTAATTAGCAGTTTTTAGCTGGTTGTGATATGTCACACATTTAACAGGATATATATATATATAACAGGACATGCTCTGGACGTGTCCAGATAAAATATTGGTATACAGTAATTGTAACAACAGTTTATTTTAAAGTGAACTGTGCAAGAAAAAATAAATCATGCATTTAGACAATTATACTGACGGTGAGATACACAAACTCTTGCCACTAATTAGTCTCGTTTATTGCCTTTTAATCTTCAGCTGTTCCATGCAAAGGCCTGTTACTTAATTCAAGTTCAAATGATCTCAAAGGGATAAAGCTTTACAGTTCAGTTAAGGAGTATTGTATGTTTCTATAAAAAAAACTGATGGGTTCATCTCTCATACATGGAAAGGAAAAGTTTCTTTTAGCAGAGTATAGTTTTACCAATTTAAACCTAATCATATTTCAACTGGAAATATTGGCCCTTTTATGCAAAATGTGTGGTATAATCAAATTAATTTCAAATACATTAAGATCGAAAAATACATGGTTGATAAAACATTGAATATTTCCAGTCGTTTTGATAAATTAAGTTAAAATTTCGGCATTCATAATACAGTGCTTGACTTTCATTAAAAAGTGATTGAGTTATTCCTCTAATAATATTAATAATAATAATAATAATAATAATAATAATAATAATAATTTTAATCAATAAAAGTTCATTATTAATTGATGCTGCACTTTAATGGCGTTCCTTTATTCGTAAAATATCTGAATCAAAAACTTTTTTGTTTTAGGAAGGCGTCATCACACTGACCGGCAGGTGGCAGTAGAGACTTCCCTTGGCCCAGTCTGCCAGAATTAAACAAACGAAGAAGAAAATGAAGCTTCCTAGCATGAGGTTGGCGGGTTGTTAGTTGCATATGAATGTTGAACGTTTTTGTTTAAAATTTACCAACGAAGAGCCAAATACAACTTGTTGTCCAAATAAATCAACATCACTCGGATCATTTTCAACAGGGTAAAGGACCGACTTAGTTAAAAAACACTTTAATTTTACATTTATTTACTTATTAGCTTGCATGCTAAGTGATACTGATAGAACCAGAGCTAACGTTAGCATCGACTCAGGATCATTCAGCCTGAGTTTACTGGTGATAAAATAAATCTCTGGCTTATTCGTATTTGTTTTTGTGTTTTCTTTACAGATAAATCAGACACGATTGTCTCAGCGATGCCGTCCATCTTTGGACCCAGCAGCCCTGCAGCTGCTCTCGCAGAAGCTTTGGACAACTCTGGCCGTCTGATTGACAAACATCTGCAGGATGATCGCTGCTTTCCTGATCTGTCCGAGCTGCTCAGCGTCCCTTCACACAGTAAGTCCAGTTATTAGGTTAAACAGCTAGTAGCTGTTTACATTTGGGCTTTTATTATGGTAAGAGGAGGGACTGTAAGTTAACTAGTTAAATTTCACACAAGGGGAAATTTATATTGGTAATTTTGCATGATCCGTTAATCATGGTCATAAATATTGTATTGAACATCGGATAATACAAATTAAACGTTATACTTGTTGATTTGATTGCAGACATGCCGTCCCTCTCTGGAGTGTCAGATATGGATTACCCTCTCCAAGGACCCGGGTTGCTCAGTGTACCAAACCTCCCAGAACTCAGTGCAGTCCGAAGAGTCCCTCTGCCACCTGAGCTGGTGGAGCAGTTTGGCCGTATCCTTTCACTCATTATGGAATGCTAATCCAAACCTTTCAGACAGACCCTGACATTTCCATCATACTCAAAAGAAAATTGTTTACAGCTTCTTATTTTGTTGGCCAAGAAATTCAGCTTAACCATCTTTTAGATATGCAGTTTAACTGCATGATGGGAGTTTTTCCTGAGATTTCTCGAGCGTGGCTAACGATTGACAATGATATCTTCATGTGGAATTATGAAGATGGGTGTGTATTTTTGTTGTCATTATACAGTATAATAATTGCATTCAACTGTCTGAAATGCACACACAGGTCATTTAAATGTAATTTTTGGTTTTGCCAAATTAATTTGAGCCATTAAACTTGTACCAGTGACAGCTGTCTTTACTTTTCTGAGCTGTGTTGTGTTCTTTGCAGAGGTGATGTAGCCTACTTTGATGGCCTAATTGAAACTATTCTAGCTGTGGGTCTTGTTAAACCAAAACAAGGTATGACCAATACATTATTTAACATAGATCATTTTATTTTTTTTATGAATTGAATTTGTTTTTTTGTTGTTGTTTTTTTCAGGGATTTTACAGCCGCATATTCACTACCTCTTGGTGTTAGCCACTTCTGTGGATGTTGTGATCCTTGGACTCAGCTTCCCAAAGGGCCATGATGGTGAGTCATTCTTTCATTTCTTATAATTTTGTTGAAAGCATTTTTTATTTCACAACCTAAACAGGATTTTTTTTATTGTGGAGAATTGTGTCATTAAGTTTCAGAAACAGCTCAAAGCTAAATGTCTTTGTTTATGTGTATAATATGATCAAGCAAATGACTGATAATTGTTGGACAATGCATTGTCACAGAGACTCAATTTTCTATATTACCAATAGGTTGATGTATGTGATGAAAACTCTTCAAATCTGTGTGTTATTCTTTTATTATCATCTAAGTAGATGTTGAGGAAAGTTAATAAATGCTGTGTCTGTCTTTTGTTTTAGGACTAAATGACAGCATGGCTGGTGGCATGCAGCTGCTGCCAGACCCTCTGTTCTCAATCCCCACAGACAACACCTACATCCTGTCCATCACCTCCACAGACCTGGGACGCATCTTCATGGCAGGAAAGGATGGCTGCCTCTATGAGATAGCTTACCAGGCAGAGGCAGGGTGGCTCAGTCAGCGCTGTAGAAAAATCAATCACTCTAAAAGCTCCTTGTCCTTCCTCATCCCCTCTGTGCTCCAGTTCTCTTTTTCTGAAGATGGTGAGAGAAGGAAACAATTGTGTATAGGATGAAACGTCACTAATCTAACCGAACTGCTCCTGAACATTGTGTTGCCTCTGTTTTCCACAGATCCCATTGTGCAAATTGCAATAGATAATACTCGAAACACACTTTTTACACGCTCTGAGAAAGATGTCCTACAGGTAACATGTGTATCTGGTTAGCAATACATGTAATGACTGTCATGAGTTGACACGTTTATTTGGTTTCTTTTTAGGTGTATGACCTGGGTGCTGATGGTCAAGGTATGAGTCGTGTGGCAACAATGTCCCAGAGCTCCATAGTTGCAGCTGCAGGAAACATTACCCGGTATGTCTGTGCTTTGGTGTTTCGTGTGTGATGAGCTCTTCTCACTGTGAAATAATTTCCTTTTTTCAAACTATTTTTAGGACAATCGATCGTTCTGTCTTCAGACCCATTGTCCAGATCTCAGTCATTGACAGATCAGAGTCCTCAGATTGCCATCTGCTCGCTGTCACTCATGCTGGTAAAAATTAACAGGCTTAACTTGTTGTAGTGTGTGAAATATACTGTTTGCATTGTCTGATGGGGTGTTTTTGCAGGCGTGCGTCTCTACTTCACCACCACGCCTTTTGCACCTCAGCATCAGAAGCACGTTGCAGTTCGCCCAAGCCTGCTTGCTTTAGTCCACGTCCGGCTTCCACCAGGGTTTTCTGCTTCTTCCACCTTGCAGAAACCCTCAAAGGTTCACAAGGCTCTACACAGCAAAGGTAATGGAGCAAATCAGTCTCATTTTTACTTTTTGAATTTTGTATTGTTTCATTCTGACAAATTTTAAATGTTACAGGTGTTCTGCTGATGGCTGCTTCTGAGACAGAAGATAGTGACATTTTGTGGTGTATCAACCATGACTCCTTCCCCTTTAAGAAACCCCTGATGGAGACACAGGTTTGTACAACAGAAGCAGACAGTGAATTGAAAAAATAAACTCAGGAGGCTTTTTGTGAAACAGTTTGCTCTTGGGGGCCAGAAACAAACTCTGAAACTTGTTATTTCTTGTGTGTTGTGTTGCAGATGATGTCTAATGTTGATGGACACTCTTGGGCACTTAGTGCCATAAATGAAGAAAGGCCTCTGAAGATATTTACTCCATTGAACAAGGACCACATCCCCATCACTGATTCCCCTGTGGTTGTCCAACAGCACAATATCCCTCCACAGAAGTTTGTCCTTCTGTCTGCAAAGGTTAAAGTCATAACTCATCATCTTGTAATCTGGTTGTGGCATGAATTCAGTATTAAATTTATGGTTGTCCTTTAGGGAAGTCACATCTTTCAGAAACTGCGACCAGTAGACCAGTTTCGTCACCTCCTGGTCAGCTGCGCTGGAGGAGAAAGTGAGGAGATTGAACGCTTCTTCAAGCTGCACAGGGTACCATGCATTATCATTACCGTGATGTTTTGTCTTCATAATTTTTGCATATCGTCTTAAACTTGTGCACGGCAGACATGTATGATTATTAGTAGCATGTCGCGTACACCAATCTGCACTACCATCTTTTTACACAAGATTAAACCAGGTGTGTTTTCCACATGCACCTGTAATACACATTTAAATGATACCCCTTGTGTTCAGGAGGAGCAGGCTTGTGGCACAGCATTGATCTTGGCTTGCTCCAGTGCTGCTTCTGACCGAGAGGTCTCACAGTGGGCCACCAGAGCATTCTTCAGGTCAGATGGGGACTTTTACTTTAATATATTCGTGATTATTTTACATTCTGTGCAAGCTAAAGGCTGGTTTTCCTTTTGTTGTGGGGATTAGATATGGAGGAGAAGCTCAGATGAGATTTCCTGCAGCCATGACAACACCCAGCACTGTTGGACCTGTGATGAGCTCTCCAGCACCTGGTAAGTTAGTGAATTTGAAGTGTTTGGTTTTGAAGGTCAAAACTGGTACCTGAACCCTCATATGTACTTCTCATGTTGACACAATTAAATAGGAGATGAAACTAATTTGACTGTTTCTTATTTGAATATGGAATAAACAACGATTCAATTCTGTCCCCAGGTATTGTACCTCCTGCGTTAGCCACACCTTTTGCACCGATGCAGTCTGGATCTGTCCCGATCACGCCCATGTCAGCCGGCCCAGAGGTGATTTTCTCTGGAAAGCACAACGGCATCTGCATCTACTTCGCTCGCATTCTCGGGTAATTAAGCACAGTTTTCCTGGTCAAAGTTTAAATCTGTGGGTGCTTTTTTATCCAGAGCCCTGAAAGTTGGTGTTGATGGTGTCTTAATTTTGTTTCCTCTTCCCGTTCACTGCTGTCACAACTTTAACAGAAATATTTGGGATGGAAGCCTCGCTGTAGAGAAAACCATAAGCAGAGGAAATCAGGCAGTCACTATTGTGAGTATCATAACTACATTACAACCCCCCAAAAACCATATGTTTCTAAAATGAACACAAAGGTTAATCTGTTATTAGTTTAAACCTTTATTAAACTAAAACATATTGTGTCTTTACTCGTCAGCTTTATTGTATAAATCTACAATTTGTTGACATGGACATTACACATTTGTTTAAACCACTTGAATATTATTTTAAGGTTTTATTCTTACTATCAGTTATTTTTTTGTCTGCACAGTTGGAAAGCACCCTCAGTTCATTTGAGTTGGAGGTGGTCCTCCTGGAGCTCAAAGGTCTACAGGAGTTCCTTGACAAAAACTCTCAGCTCAGTCCTTCATCTCTCGGTGCTGCAAGGTAAAAGCTCTTCTGCCAGAAATGTGTTACACTGAGTTAGTTGGCATGTTAACGCCTTAATATTATGCTTAACACCATGGTGCTTTTCTGTAGCAGAACAGTGCTGGCAGGGTGCAGGAAAACACCTCCTGTTAAGATTTTAGGTCAGAAAGCAGTCGAATGCAGTAGATTACATTTTTGGTTTCTGTGACACGCCTTCCCACATGAACTCTTGTTCAAACCATTTGCCTTTTTTTTATAAAGCTGCAACTTCAAAAAATATATATATTTTACAACATCTGCACCAAAATTTAGGACTCTTGCTCTCGGATTTAATGCTTTATTTGACAGCTGCAGTCCAAAGAGTTTGTTCCTGTTTCAGACTTTTTTCTTTTATTGGACTGCAACTAAAACAGGTCATCTTTAAATCACTTTGTCCAAATAGATGTTGATCCTTTTCAGAGTGTTTGTGAACTTGATGCAAACTAAGGGACAAGCTGCAGGTCGTTTTAAATTTAGCAGACTGCTTTATTGCCATTACATTTGGTTAATATTATTACCAACAGCATTTAGTGCTGCTAATCTAATCTAATCTAATCTCACACATTTTGTCACCTTGTCTTATTTTCTCGGAACAGAATAGTCATGATGAGAACAAATTTCGGCTCTTAATTTCCCGAGATTACCAGGGCGGCCATTATTATTTAGATGAAAAGTTACCTGGATGGAAAACAAGAAACTGAAATCAGCATTTTTCTGAAACATTCAGACAATTTATTAGTCACATCATTCAGAGTAGCTGCATAAAAAAAGCATAAAACTTAAAAAAAAAAAAAAGATCCTGGAAGCAGATCTGTTTTTTTAAAGGCTGCATAATCTTTCCATTTTTGGGTCAACTCGGAATAAATCAATTTTAAGTAAGTATTCTTTGTAGACGTAGACTTTTATGCTACATTGTGTATATTTAATTAGCAGCTCTTCTGATCAGAGCTTCGCTTTAGACAAAAATGGGGGTGAAGCTGATTCATTACTGAAAAGATGCAAGTGTGTCATTAGGCCTGTCATAGTAACATTTTGCTGGGCGATTAATTGTCTCAGAAAATATTGCGATAAACGATAATATTGTTTGAAATTTGACAATAATCAGTAATTATTGTCAAATTTAAGAAGAAATGTTGGTCATCCGGGAGGGACTCAGAGTAGAGCCGCTGCTTTTCCACATAGAGAGGAGCCAGTTGAGGTGGCTCGGGCATCTGGTTAGGATGACTCCTGGACGCCTCCCTGGCGAGATGTTCTGGGCACGTCCCACCCAGAGGAAGACCCAGGACACGCTGGAGGGACTATGTTTCTCGGCTGGCCAGGGAACGTCTTGAGATTCCCCCAGAGGAGCTGGCCCAAGTGGCTGGGGAGAGGGAAGTCTGGGCCTCCCTACTTAGGCTGCTACCCCTGTGACCCGACCCCGGGTGCGGAAGAAAATGGATGTTGGTTAATTTGTTTTGAGTATAGTACCTTTTTTGACCACCGCATGGCTGTATAAGACTGTTTGAACCAAAGGATGGATAGTGAGGGAGCCAGCAGTGTGTCTTTTGAAGAAAAATGGGAGGGACATGACATGGGCTGTCTCCTTCCTTTATTCGGTTAGCTTAGCTTGCAGCGTAGCTGCATTTAACGATCCAAAAACACGGTTTCGGACGGTTAAAACGGGTTTTAAAGAGAAAGGGAGCGGTCAGTGAAGAGCACTGGAGTTGAGCTTTTTTTCATCCAGTGTCTTCAGTAGAAAGAGAGAGACATGAAAAAAACGATAAAGCCGATGAATGAAAATGAGCTCAATACTTTTCATTTATCATGCGATTAATTGATTTATTGTTTATTGCGACAGGCCTATTTGTCATTTTGAGTAAAGCACCTGCTGTGACATATATGGTATGGAATTCTGTATAAACGTCTTGAGCTTTTTTTTAATTTGATGGAACCACAGTAAGAGGCAGCACGGTGGCACAACTGGTAGAGCTGCTGCCTCTCAGCGAGAAGGTTGCCGGTTCAAATCCCGGTCCGGGGGCCTTTCTAGGTGGAGTTTGCATGTTCTCTCCGTGCATGCGTGGGTTTTCTCCGGGTACTCCGGTTTCCTCCCACAGACCAAAAACATGCATGTTAGACTGATTGGTAACTCTAAATTGTCCCTAGGTGTGAGTGAGAGAGTGAATGGTTGTTTGTCTCGTTTGTCTCCATGTGTCCCTGTGATGGACTTGCGACCCGTCCAGGGTGTCCCCCGCCCCTCGCACAGTGACAGCTGGACATGGGCACCGGCAACTCCCGTGACCCAAAATGGAAGAAGTGTGTAAAAGATAATGAATGGATGGAACCACAATAAACATTTTCAGGCTTGTGACTATTTAAATAAATAAAATAAATGTGCGGTTTAGATTTTTAACTCGACGCGACTCGCGCTGATGTAAAATCTAAACATACTTTATCATTTCTCCTACTTTTGCAAACTTTTTATTCAATGAAATAACTTTAATAAGACGCGTCTTCTTTGGTTTTCTGTTTTTTTTGTTCTTCTTGGCGTTAGCTTCAGCTCCCCTGCCAACCTGCAGCAAAGGCTGCTGGGATTTATGCGTCCAGATGGAGCCAGCTCTCAGCAGGTTCAGCAGGAACTTCAGAGGAAATATCACAGTAAGTGTTGAGCTCTATTTGGTGATTATATTAAAATTGCAAACAAGGAAGGGCTTATTTGTATCCAACACTTTACACTAAAAACTGTTGTATTTATCATTAAAGTTAAAGTGACTCTTGTTTTTGTACTTCGATATTTTTGTTTGTTTGTTTGTTTGTTTTAGCCAAGGCTCAGGTCTATGAGAAAGTGTCCCTGCAGGGTATCCAGCAGTTAGTGCATCGCTCGTATCAAACTCTGGCGCTGTGGAAGCTCCTCTCTGATCATCAGTTCAGCCTCATTATGTCTGAGCTGCCTAAGGTACTTTAGCATTGCGAACAGATGCTCATATGTTTGTGCAGAAACTCGTGATTTATCCAAAAACCTGCTGCTCGGGGAGTGCTCACTACGAATTCAACCACTTTTTACAGGAGTTTCAAGAGCAGATTAAGGGGGCAAGTTTTAAGGACGTAGTGATTCGCGGCAGGGAATTATCCGGAGCGCTCATCACCGGGCTTATTAATGCCTACATCAAAGATAATGCCTCTGTGGACGCCATCAGCAATCACCTGAGGGACCTTTGTCCGCTGCTGTACAGCAACGATGACAGCACTTGCTCCAAGGTGCACACTCATCGAAAGTGCATTGTATACATAAATTTATCACAGCCTTATTGATGTCACCTTTGTATTCTTATTTAATGTGATCTTTTGTGTCTTGTTTTTTGCCCACGCTAGTTTTCAAGACCATTTTAGGCGCAACAAAGTCTTGCACTCGCGAGATATCGATCAGCTCGTATTGATTTATGTCTTCGTAAAGTGAATTTGATTTTGTCCCCCACTTAGGCTAATGAGATGCTGCAGGGCTCCAAGCAGATCCAGAACAAGGGCGATAAAGAGAGAACACTGAGGGAGTCTCTGCGACTCTACCAGCAGATCAGCCAGCACACAGACCTGCCGCTTGTTTGCTCCCAGTACAGACAAGGTAAAAGCAGCAGGCACTGCCACTGCTTTTGTTGTTGGCACACTGTGCTTACTGGTGCTGTTTAACTTTGCAGTGCGTTTTTACGAGGGAGTTCTGGAGTTATGTCTCACAGCGGCAGACAAAAAGGACCCACAGAGACTAGGACCCCACTTCTATAAGAACGGAGAGCCAGAGGAGGACAAAGTGGGGCAGCAGGCCTTTCAGGAAAGGTAATGTCAACAGGAAGTAAAACAAGAATTTGTGTCCAAGTTGTCTATTTAAAAAAACAAACAAACTTGTTTTTCAGACTTTCTTGTTATAAGTGCATCACAGACACGATGCAGGAGTTGGTGAACCAGAGCAAAGCTGCTCCTCAGTCCCCCAGCGTCCCTAAGCAGCCTGGACCTCCTGTCATGACCTCTGACCCCAACATGCTCAGCAATGAAGAAGCCACAGCACACGTGAGTTTAAAAAAGGACAACTGATGCTAATTTCCTTCCACTGCTCTGTACATAATCTGCATTTCTAACGATGATCTGTCACCCCTCTGTAGTTTGAGCAGATGCTTGGCTTGGCCCAGAGGTCTCAGGACGAACTGTTTCACATCGCCCTGTACAACTGGCTCATTCAGGCTGACCTGACTGACAAGCTGCTGGAGGTATTCTGTTCATGCATGTGTAATTCATTCTCTCCAGACCCACATTTCAATACGGTGTAGTTTATAAAGCTGGGAAGGAATTTTTATTTGTATTTTATGTCTGCACAACAGTAAAAATGTCTCCGCTGTGTCTTTTTCATAACTGTTTTATCCATCAGTTTACCTGCAAATGTGCCTTGTCTCTGTAGTGTCCCAAAGGGGAAACAACAATATATCTAGAGAGTTTTCTTTGTATCTCCTGGAGTTTTATAGAAAAGGGATATGTGTTCGGCTGGTTGCACTAGTCTATAAATTTCATTAAATTGCTCGAACTGAACATTTAAGTACTAAGCTGCCTTTCAAACTCTTATACCCACATGTTGCACCAGCTGTCAATAAATTAGATGATACAGTAGTCCCTCGTTTATCATGGTTTAGGGGACCACGCCCCCCACGATTAGTGAAAAACCGCAAGTAGGGATACAGTAGTCCAAGTTCGAGTTTCACTCCCAATCTCCCTCCTTGTGTAAATAAACACTTTAAATCCATGCAGCATGTGTTGTTTATTTAAAATATTACAGTATTTAAATTTAAATTGTAGAGAAGTGCAGCAGGACAGCAAGAAATGTACTTCTTGATCACTTACACTGCTGAACATAGAAGTTCTAAAATAATTTAAAGTAACTTTTAACACATATATTTTGTGATTATGATGATTTTACCATGTGACATACTTTGAATTTTAAGTTGGAAGACAAAAGTTGAATGCTGCAGCTGGACAGCAAAGGGCTTCACAAAGCTGCTTCAGTGGGAGCAGAAATGTGTGGGTGGCAGAGAGCGGAGATCATGGCCACATTGCTGCAGGAGAGAGCTTCTCCCTGCACCTGTGGGCCGCACAAAGGTGCAGCAGGTGTTACATCATTTAAAATAATTTATTTTAAATAAACAATCCATGCCGCTCTTCCATCAATCAGCCAATTGTGTCATGTCCAATCTTATTTTGAAAAACCGTGAAAGTTGAACCGCGAAGTAGTGAGGGACTACTGTACTATGAAAGTAGCTGTAGAAAAAAAAAATAAGCTGTCGACTTTGCATTTTAGATTTTGTTTCATTCACATTCTATAAGTTCTATTCCATGTTATCTGAATTTGGCTTCCCCACTCGGCCTTGAATCAGCCAGCTATCTCAACTTCTGGTTGTTTATGTGTTGAACAAGAAGCTCTGCCCCCCACGCCCTTCGCTCTCCTCCTGAGGACTTGTGGGGAGCTGTGTCAGAGTTGAGCCGGCTGAAAGACACTGCGTTCTCTTATCAGAACTATGGAACTCTCTGGCAGTCTCCACAGTCAACTCACTGCCTTCCTGTAAAAAGTTTTTCTCTGCAAAAAGAAGCTGAGAACTTGTTTACTGATTTTTTTAAATTAAAAGCATTGTGTGAAAAATGCTATGCTAAAGAGCTCAAACCACGCAGAGTATTCGCCATTTTGAGAACCGAAGAGAGACAGCCCATGTCACATCAAGGAGCCTCCCTCCTATTTTCTTAGAGACATGCTGCTCGCTCCCTCACTATCCATCTTTCAGTTCAGTCTTATACTGCCATCCGGTGGTCGAAAAAAGGTACTACATGCAAAACAAATTAACCAACATTTCTTCTTAAATTTGACAATAATTACTCATTATTGTCAAATTTCAAACAATAATATCGTTTATCGCAATAATTTCTTAGACAATGAATCGCCAAGTAAAATTGTTATGGTGACAGGCCTACTCAGCTTAAATGTATTATGATGTCATCAGTATGTTGCTGTTTTATGTGCTGAGGTCACTTTTTTGCGACTTTCATTCTGTGTCCCGTAGGATACAGTATGAGATTAGATTTTTTTTTTTACACCTCCCTTCCCCCTCGTGTTTCTTTTTCCTTATCTGAAAATAAAGCTGGCGGCCTCAATCGCCTCCGTCTCCCCATGTCAGTTGTTTATGTTGTTCTCTTGGACGGGCTGTACTGAAAATGTAATTTAGTTGTGCTTTGGTTCAATAACAATAAAGCTGATTCTGATGAGATATTTTAATTCTTGTTTGTTTCCTGGTTTCTCATTTCCCAGGTGAATTCTCTGTATCTTGAAGAGCATCTGATGCATATGATCAAACAGGACCAGAGTAAAGTTCATAACATGGACCTCCTGTGGCGCTACTACGAAAAGAATCGTAACTTTGGGAAAGCGGCTCACGTACTAGCCCGCCTCGCTGACATGCACAGGTTTAAACATGAGATTTTATTAGGAAATTTATACGGACCAATCACCAGAACTGCTGCTTACTTATACATGCATGTTTGTTTTCTGCTCGTGCAGCACTGAGATCTCTCTGAAGCAGCGCTTGGAGTACATTGCTCGAGCCATCCTGTCTGCAAAGAGTTCCTCCAGCATATCCGCTCAGGCGTCTGACGGGGAATTCCTTCACGAGCTCGAGGAAAAGATGGAGGTACTTGAGCTCATTGGTGTCGATGGAGAGAAATCAGAGGGTTTTCCGTTGCTTGTTGTGTATAAGCATTTATTTTCTTTCACTCGCTTTTAGCTTGTGCGTATTCAAGTGCAGATCCAGGAAACGCTACTCAGACAATACTCCCATCATCCCTCCGTGAAAAATGCCGTCTCCCAGCTGGACTCTGAGCTCATGGACATTACAAAAGTAACTTGCTACATCAGAATTGGTTTAAAAGTATTTGTTTTCACTGTGAATGCAACATGTTTACAAATGTGGCTTCTTTGTTTGTTTGTTGTGCAGCTCTATGGCGAATTTGCTGACCATTTTAAATTGTCTGAGTGCAAGCTGGCCATCATTCACTGCGCAGGGCACTCTGATCCAATCCTGGTTCACTCACTGTGGCAGGAAATCTTGGAAAAAGGTGAGAACATTAGCATCCTGCCAAAAGTTGCCCTCTTCCTGCTTTGTTTACGTGTCTGTTTTGTCTTTCAGAGTTGGCGGACAGCGTGGCCATGAGCCCAGCAGACAGGATGAGGTCTCTGAATCTGAAATTGGTTTCACTCGGGAAGTTATATGCTGGAACGCCGCGATATTTCCCTCTTGGTAGGCTTTTATCATCATTCCGCTTTATCTTTGTGATGTTTATTAAGCTTGTTTTTTTACAGTTTTGTAAACAGTAATATAATGAGCCCTCCTTTTTGCATAATTTATATATCTCTGGGGTGCAGGTCTGTTTAAGCCAAACAGCTGCTCCTGCTCCTAATTATCCTCCTTTTACAGCCGGCGAGTTCAAACTTGTCCTGTCTGGAGACATAGATTCATTTTAGATACATCCTCGGTGCTTGCGCGTGTGCACGCCATGATGAGCGTGCAGTGTTAACAAGTGCTGATGTGGTTGCAGAGTTCCTGGTAAAGTTCCTGGAGCAGGAAGTTTGCCGTCTGAACTGGGACGTGGGATTTGTCACGTGCACCATGCTGGAGATCGGTGTTCAGCTGCCCCGTCTTCTGGAGGTTTATGATCAGCTCTTCAAATCTCGGGTACACGTAACACTTTATGTTTTGTGCTAAACACACAAATATGAGCGAAATCTTCTTACACCAGCAAAATGACTTGCTTTTAGGACCCCTGCTGGCAGCGACTGAGGAAACCTCTACATTTGGTGGAGTGCATCCTCGTGCTTCTTTCAGGATACGTTGACGACCCCAGCAGAGTACCAACCTATGACAGGTGAGCTCTGCTGCTTTAGCTGCTGGCCTGTAGTAGGCGTCGATTAAGAAAAAGTCAGTTTTTTTGTGATGCATTTTAAATTTAAGGAGCTACTTTTTTATCGACTGCAAGAATCTTGAGCTAAACAAAGTTCTGGGAAGAACTTTTGAAGCCATTATAATGACCCTTAGACCTTAATGGAAATGTAGAAGATCCATCTTTTTTTTTTTTGCTATGATAAAAGTCATAAATCGAAGGAACTCATGTTCTGGGTTCTGCTGGTTGAAAATCTCATTTTAAATGTACAGCGGCGAAATGATTCGACTTTGACATGCGTTTTTGTTTTTTTCTTTATAGCAGCTTAATTATGTCACATTTTAGATATCAGTGTTATTTACAACCACACCTAAAAACAAAATTAAAGCTTAAATACTAGGGATGCACAATATTGGATGTTTGGCTGATATCCAATATGCCAATATGTTAAAACGAAAGTTACATATGTAACTACGGTTCTATGAAACCCGGATGACCGCCAGAGCTTCTCTGTCACTCAGAATTCTTGCATTCCGCGAGAAGATTCTGTAGGAGCAGAGCTGCGGATGACGTCGGGCTATATAGCCTCTGACTGGTCATGTGTCACACCTGCGACTCTGTTGGTATTATTACTCAAACAGTGCATGCGCAAAGGGAACATGCAGTGCTTTCAGCACCGCCCTCTGGCGGTCAGGAGGGATGAAATAGAACTTATTTGGCCGATAACGGATACCAGTACTGATATTTTTTTCCCTAGACCAGAGACTACACAGCTTTCTCTGCTGTGGAATTAAAATACTACATTATTCTTCATGGTCTTTGTGAGTTTGGTCTGTTACCAAATGCAGATGCCAAAAGGGGTCTGAAAATGATGTAACACACTTGGATTATGTTTAATGTCAAATTTATTCATGACATTTACTCTCTAACACAATGACAACACTCGGAACAGTCATACAAAAACTGTGCCTTCATATATATATATATATATATATATATATATATATATATATATATATATATATATATTTACATATATTTCAGCACCTTATGTCGGTGAGTCATTTTGATGGAATGTCCGATATTTAACTTTATCGCTAATATCGGCCGATACATGTCGATAATATCGTGCATCCCTATTAAATACCTTGTGTTTAACAGTAATATATTTTTTATTTTATTCTGATAAATTTTTTCTATTTGACTACTTTATTTATTTATTTAATTTACCCTTTATTTATCCAGGTAGTCTCATTGAGCCACGAGAACTCATTTTCAAGAGAGACCTGTTTAGGGAGCAGATGGTGGTTAAGGGCCTTGCTCATGGGCCCAGGGTGGGGCAAATGAGGGTGGGGGCAGGTGTGGGCGCTTCACCTACCCCACCCACATTTTTGATGTTCTCAGTACCGGGGCTTGAACCAGCGATCTTCCGATCACACACCCACCTTGTCTAGCCTCTGCGCCACCACTCCCCATTTAGCTTTAGCTCAGAGCTATTTTTCAGATGGCAACCATTTATTTAAACTATGAGTTTTCACAGCTTTATATTCTTTTTTTTTTCAATGACTACCATCATCTGGAAATGTTTGTTGTACGAGTTCATGCAACTGTTCGAACCGGTCAGTTCCGAGGTAAAAACTTACAGATAGATACGCAGGTGGCTTTAAAGCTTCCAGTTAATGTCGTGAAATCTTTTCCAGGCGCAGATTCACGAACGTGTGCCTGGACAACATCTGTGGATACCTGGTGGAACTGCAGTCTCTGAGCCCGAACTCAGCCCTTCAACAAACCATCGGCAACTTTAAATCACTGCAGGCCAAGCTGGAGAAACTCCACTGACATAAACAACAGTTTTCAGTTGGACACAACTTGACATTATTTATGTCCCACAGCGGGGGCTTGTATCATCTGTTGAGTTGAAGCATATTGATTTTTGATAAAAAACAGACGCTTGAAAATGCAAGTTTTATAACTTATTTGATACATTTTTTGTTAGTTTATGCTGAAGCAGGAGGTGTAGTGGTTTTACATTGTGTGGAAGTGGCTGGTATAAAAAAAAATGGTGAGATGGTGAATTCTTTTCAGTAAAAAAACAAAAATCACCGATTGCAACTGTCAGTTTGCATATATTGGTTCATGATATGGTATTTTCCTATGATTAACATTGACAGCTGTGCCTGTTTTAATCTTTCAACACAGTTTTGGTTGTCAGTTTATTGTAATTATGTACATAACGTGTCGTCTGCCATAGCTCACAAACTCATGCCGTTTTGTACAAGAACTCTGGTGGCTGATTTTGCTGTACGGAAATTCCTGGCTTTGAGAATAAAAGTTTTTTTTTTTAATATAAAAATTGTCTTGACTTATGGATAAGTGGGACACACTTAGTGTTTTTGAAAACAACCTTGTATGAAATGTTCATAATTAGAACGAAACATCAGATGTTAATGCAACATTGGTTTGGCAATTATCTTTAATTTAAAACAGCACTCTGGGGCTTTTTTTTTTATTTTTTTTTGCTGTCATCACTAACAAGGCAATAATTGCCGAAGGTCTCCAATTAGCTGTGTGCTCAAGTACACAATTATGTATAATTTTTAATGCTCATGAAAAATAAACAGACTTAGTCTCGCTGCTGAGTTGTTTTGTTCTAGTAAGGTCAGCCAACATGTTTACAAAGAAAAACACAAAGGTTAAATGCTTTTTATCTATAAAATAAAGCTGGTTAACACATTTAACTGTAATGTTATGTTTGTGAACTTATTTAGAATATTCATCATATATAAATCTGATCATTTATGTTAACTGGAAAGTAAAGGACTACTAGGGAAAAACAAGTGATTAATAAATGATGTGTTAATGCACTTCCTCTGTAGGAAAAAGACTCGAGCATGAAGATGTCGTTTAATTTTCAAGCGTACGACAACAAAAAAATTAGGTTTTAGCTGTAACATCTATTTTTTCAGTTTAAAGACTTTTCTCTACATCTCTTGATTCCATAAAGAAAGAAAAACTTTAAAATAATGTAAGAAAGTCAAAGTGCATTTGTTGCGCTGCATGCATTTATTTTGTGCACGAGCAGGAAAGTTTTTTCACTCCGTGCAAAAACATGTAGGGGATGATGCAGGTGTAGGACGCTGCAATATAGCTGGCCACCTCCACCACCTGTGGCGAAGCGTGGATGTTGCTGGAGATGCGCAGCAGCAGATGAGTCAGCCAGCAGAGCAGAACCACGCTGGCTACAGCCACCACGCTCTTCGCTGCCCTCACCTGAGGACTAGATTTGGGGCTCTGCTTAGATGGCTTCTGGACGGGCGTTGAAAAATGCAGCCGGGGTTGAACGCTGCACGTTTCGCTGCTTGCTGAAGGCCTCTCTTGACTCCGAACGTGCCTCCTGGTTCGGAGCAAAGTAACAACGATCTGAACACTCGCGATTATGATTCCTGCAAGAGGGAACGCGTTGGCCACGGTTAAAAAGACTATCTCGTAGGTTTGCCTGGAAAGTGCATCAGGGAAGAGCTCTGTGCAGCTTTGTTGGCTTTCATTCATCCTTTCCACTGACGAGAAGAAGAAGTGAGGGATGCTGAAGATCGTGGCCAGCATCCAGCTCCCAACCAACAGATAGCCCACCAGGCGCAGGCTGTCCAGCTGCACCGGTGCACCTCCACGTTTAAGGGACCCAACCAGCTTCTGGTGCCAGAAAGCACTGATGAAGAGGGTTGTGAAGAGGCTGCTGGTCTCCGAGAGGTCAGAGCAAAAGTGGAAGATGCCGCAGTAGGTTTCCCCCAGGAACCACCGTCCGGCAAAGTCTGCGGTGGTGTCAGGCAGATCCACCAGGTAGTTGGTGATCAGGTTGGACATGGCCAGGTTGAGGAAAAGGACATCGTTGGTACGAATTTCAGTCTTCTGCTTGGGAATAGAGATTAGAGCCAGCCAGCTGTTTCCCAAGATTCCTGCCAGGAACATGAAGGCTCTGATAAGAGATTCAATCAACTTGTCTGCATCCATATTATCAAAGATGGAAGAGTGTGCACAGAGGTTTGGACGGCTGAAGGAAGGAAGGATGAGGAGCCCAACCCAACCACCTCACAGAGGTGGAACATCTGTTCACATGAAGCCATCATCAGGAAGTTTCACTGAGAGGGAGGAGAATTTTCTAGTGACAGACACTCCCAAATATAGCTTCACTCTGGAAGAATTATATAAAAAGGGCCTGCAGGCGGAAACACATCTAGGCCACCGAGTCTTCTAATGAAGGAGCAAAACTCCAAAACTGACACATTCGAAGTCATGGAAATACAATTTGTAGCAACTTCCAAGTGTTTATTTGTGCTCGTTTTTAAATCTTTGCGCTTTTGTGATTGAATTTCATATTTCTAAGTCTGCCACATTACTGTATATTTTATTTAACTGGTGTGTGTTTTCTGTTACCTGTTCTGTTCTGCATCATTATGTTACATCTCAGTGTGGATATGTTGTAAAAATATAGACCAGAGGCGTCTGGATGTCTCACTGAGCCTGAACCAAAGACTTCCTGACTCAAAGTGTCGTAAGTGCAGCAATAAAGGACCGATCAAAGAAATGCAAAATACTCTGAATTTAATGACAAGCACATGATGTGTCATCAAATCAGTGCACAAACAGAATCAGACAAAAATACTTGTTCTTATCAGTGTTTAAAACAGTACATTAAAGTGACTCATTTAAATAATAATTATTTTATAAATGTATATATATATATATATGTATATATATATATATATATATATATATATATATATATATATATATATATATATATAAATTCTCTCCAGTAAAAGGGGCACATGATCTCCCTTATGTCAAAGTCATGTCTGTCTGCCATCCGTTTCATTTTTAGCATTTTATAAACACTTTATCACCATAAATATTTCCCCAAACAACAACGAATGAAGACATATTTGTTATTATTTTGTATTTTAGTTTTGCTCATGCTGTGACTAAGAAATTAGAAGATGGTCAGAACAATGATTGGGTGTTTTTGTTGTTCTGTTGTCTGCCAGATGACAAATTCATTCATTCATTCATTCATTCATTCATTCAACCTTTATTTATACAGGTTAGTCACATTGAGCCTCTAGGACTCATTTGCAAGAGAGGCCTGTTTTAACAAAGAGTGATGACAACAGTGGACAATCATAAATGAAAGCATATAATTTGAAAAGATAAATGGAATAAAAATATATAAAAAAAAACTAAACAAAAACATCTACATATAAAGCGGTATAAAATACTAAAAACAGGAACTGTGTTGTTTTTTTCCAGGAACTTAGCAGTTGTTTAAAGTCCTTTAGAGAAGTCAAGGTCAAGAGCTTCAGATCTTTTTGCAAGATATTCCAGGAAACAGGAGTGGAGTAGAAGACCCTAATCCCAAGTTCAGTCCGCACTGAGGGAACACTGCAGGTAATATTGTCCTGAGAGTGCACGCTGTAGCTGCACTCACGCAGTGACATGTAGGAGATGCATGAAGGCAGCAGACCAAGAAGTGATTTAAAGATGAAAATGTACCAGTGAGAGAGTCTGCGTGAAGTTATGATCTGTTAACCAGTGAATACAGGGTGCAGTGGTGGGTACAGTTGTGAATCTTAGTGCACCATCATGACAGCATCCAGCATCTGCAGGGTGCTTGTAGGAGCGTTCATGTAAATGTCACCATAGTCAGTGAAGGGAAGGAAAGTCATATATTTACAAGGCATTTCTAGTGTTCAGAGTTAGACAGGATCTATTTCTGAAAAAGAAACCCAGTTTAACTTTCAGTTTCTTTACTAAATTTTCGACGTGGAGCTTAGATAGAAGAGACCAAAATACCTTTGAAAGAATCGACAAACTCAAAAGGAACACCATTGGAAGATAAAATCGAAGGAAGAACTGCTGGGACCGACTTCCTGTTTGAAAACAAATCCTTTGGTTTTGTCAGTATTTAGCACAATTTTGAGACGGAACAAATCTGACTGGATGATGTCAAAGGCGGATTGCGAAAGCTGGAAAACCATAGCAACTATTTTAGCTCGACACTAAACAACTGTATCATCAGCATAGAAATGTAAGGATGCATCAGGGATGCTCTGACCTACATTTTTCAGTCATTCATTCAACCTTTATTTAGTCAGGTTAATCCCATTGAGCCTCTGGGACTCATTTACAAGAGAGACCTGATTTTTTTAACATTACCCATGTAGATTGTAAAGAGGGTGGGTCCTAAGACTGAGCCTTGTGGTACACCTGTTGACTGTGAAATAATTGGAGGAAGTACCATTATGTTGAACACATTGCCTCCGATCTGAAAGATAGTTAGAGAACCAACCAATGGTGTGATCTGAGAAACCAGTTTCTGAGAGTTATCCTCAATGTCAAAAGCTGTCAAAAGTCTAAATTGTGCCGCACAATAGCATCCAAAGCTCAACAACATAAAACCTCCAGCGAAGCAGTCATGCAGTCAAGTTAGTAAAGCTGCTAATAATAACAACAATAATAACAATAATCATAATAACAATAATAATTAAAGCTGCAAGCAGCGTTGAAGGCCCTCGCAGCGAAGCGCCGCTGCGGCCTTATGGCGACCGCGGGAACTGCAGCGACCCTTCCCGGTCGCCATCGAGAACGCTCACGCTACCGTCATGCGCCTGTTCCCCGGAATGCGCATTCGCCGAACCTTTCACATAAGCTGCGACTGCATATATATCTATTGTAATAATGTAGGGGCGCACTTGAGTGAAATATTAAACAACAACACCACTGCGTCCATAAGTCCTCACTAGTCAAGCACCAAAAATGTGGTGCAGATCGGACGATATATCACTGAGATTTAACAGTTTGATTTATGTAGGGGGCGCACTTGAGTCAAATATTAAACAAAAATATCAATGTGTCTAGACATGGTCACACATTATGCCACAAAAATTTGGTGCAGATCGGATGATATATCATTGAGATATAAGGGTTGGAATATTATAGGGGGCGCTCTAGAGTCAAAA